TTCTTTGAAAGTAAAATTTTGATTCCTGATGTTGCCAAGGATTTTATTTTTTACTGCGGTTAGGTCTGTATTGACTGTTTTTAACATGGAAGGAACACTTTTTGATTTTTAACACAATTAGTTTTGCACATATGTGGAAAGATGACCTACATAAAAGGTTCATGGTAGTATGCTTTTAATGAATCCCATTCAGGTAGGAGAAAACTCCCTAAAAATTTGTTTGGGGGCCTTTATGAAAGTCTGGAAATGTTAACAGAATATATACTATAAAATTGAGTTCCAGAGTGAAGGAAGTACCTTGTTTATGCCTGTTGTCATAGGTTTTGCAAGCACTAATGCAAAACTGAAAGAAGAAGCAGTTTCAATATCACCAATGAAAATCTTTCCGGGTGGAAGTTGGTGGTTCAGGTGTCAAATAGCATTTTGCTCCTGCTCTGTTGGCTTGGAGGTTTGTGAGCAATTGCTGCTGGTAATAGAAAGGAATGATCTTTGTCTTCCCTGCAACATCTGTGGGGAGGCTAAAGCATAAGTTTTTCCCCTCAGCCCTCACTTTCTTTCCTGCAACACAAAATTATGACTTTTGTAATGTAGGTTCAGTCAGAGTTAGTCTGACTTAGATGAATGCAGGCAGCCGGGGGTATCTCTTTAAAATCTTAGTTGCTGTGAGTAAAAAAATCAAATGGCAAGAAAAAATGAACCCGTTCATATTTAAACTATTATGAAAAGTATCTCCTTTTGGCCTCTGAATATGATGAGGATTTTAATATTTATCTGAAGTTTAATCTGGACAAGTTTATGATAATCGGAGGAAGCAATCTGAGAGCGATATCAGCGTCCTTGATAAAAGGAAAGCATCAAGGGTCTGTTAGGCAAATTCAGAATGAAGATTCATTTTTAGAGACCATGTTGGTCTGTGTGTCAGAGTAGTGTTTAGCCAAAAGTTTGGTCTGTTGGACCTGTCAGTGGAAATGTTTCTTTTAGAGGAAGCTAACTGTAATTATCTATATGTATCGTTATTTTGGACACTGTGTAATCTACATACGAAGCTATATTGTGAAGTCATCTGAAAATGGATGTGAATCATCTGAGAAGAGAATGAATGGCAGCACTATTTTTCTTTACCACTGGCACTCTCTAATCTCTCTTCATTTGAGTGTTCAGTAGAATCTGGACATTTTCTTGCTAGTAGATTTATAAATAGTTGAAGATTGGACTGTCTGAAAACCTCTTTATGTCCAAGCATGATACAGTAGTGTTTTGATTAGGAGAGGTGATTGGGCTGATGCTTTTTGATTATGAAATCTTGTTGTGTTACTATGTGTAGAGTTTAATTAGTTTTCCAACGAAGTCTGCTTTTTTTTTTTTTGTTCTAAATAAGAATATTTAATTGGAAACCACTTCTTTATTAGGAAGCTTTACATAAAAAACCCCAGCCTGCATATTTTCTTTGGTTTAGATGCAGACTTTAAATACATAGACAATGTATCTTCTATGTTACTAAAACTACACTCCATTATGATGTAGAATGGTCAAGTTTTGGGGCCACTCATTAGAGGGAGTTTATTGCATATACTCTTGGAGCCTTAACCAGACCACTGCAGATTCCTAACTTGGCAGGTTTCGTGTTTTTTTTTTTGTCTTTGACAATTTCAGTTTCTTACCATTAAAGCCCTAACTGTCCCATTACAGCCATTTTTAAAATTGTGATTCTGAACTGAGGAACATGGAGGAGTGGATTCTGGCTTGCCACAGCTCTACAGCGTTTGAATGCATTTTCCTTCTGGTTACTGGATCACCTTCTCCACAAAACTAGATTTTGGTTGGTTCCCGGCCATCCCCGATCTTTGTGAAGTGTTGTTAGTTACTTGGATACCCCTATTCTTCTCTGATAGGCTGGTCTGTGGTGGCTGAGTGTTGGGGGGCCCCAACCATGTCACTCAGGGCATTTTCTGCAGACTGGCAGGTTGGACAACCTGCGGCTTCACTTCTGTTACTGTGGTCTGTACCTTCCCTCCCATACCTTTTTCTCTCCTTCCGGTACGTTTCCTGCATTTTTCATTTGGCTCCCCTAATCCAAGTTTATCTCACTTTTGCTACTTTTTCTCCCATTCTTATTTTTTTCGTTCTACAGATTGCTTACTTTATTGTCTCTGTAATTCACAGAGCCTTGCAAGGCTTCCATGTGGTGCTGAACAAGGGATCTAGGCCTCATGCAGACACGAGGCGCTTTCTGAGTACCTAATAATTAGTTTTGATCTAGAAATATTTTTTACTTTCTTGTTTTGATAGGGGAATGTTAACTGTTCAGTTTGTTCTTTGATCCATAAGAGCAATGAAAGTTGCATTCCCAGTCTAGCCTAAAGTGTTCAGTTAATTTACAAGTTAAATTAACCCTTTATTTTTTTTTTCATTTTAAGCACAACCTCAACGCTTGCCTCAGCCAAATACTTCAGCACTGGAAAGGGGTGAGGAAGAAAGTGGCAAAATCCAAAATGGCCACGCGGGTCTGAGTAATGGAAGTGGAATTCATAACGGGGTCAAGCACGCATCTGCAGACAACAGAAAGGTTTCAGCTCCTGTTTCAGAAAAAATGCACAGAAAAATTCAGTCCACCTTGTCTGTCAACAGCAACAGCAGCAAGAAGAGTAAAATAAGTTCTGTGTTTTCTCAAAAGCCAGGTGCTTCACCTGAAGGTAAGCAGAAATTCTTATTAAAAATACCCAGACTGAATAAAGACCAGCCAAACCACATTCTCACTAATAATTACACAATCAACTGAAAATAATTGAAGAGCATGACTCATGCTCCAGAAGCAAATAGAAATCGTTATGATAAAACACAAGTTACTTCCCCAAAGGAAAATATTAAGTATTTAAAGGAAATTGAAGCAATGGGACATTTCTTGCCTTCAAACATTTTTGGCCAACATAGCCTGATAATGTTTTAGTTTCTCTAATTAGTATCCTGCACTGATAGAAACTCTTGTCAACATTGTCACATACACACCAGAAAAAATATGTTAAAACACTAGTTCAAAGCATAGTGAATACTTAAATCCAGTAATGGCAGACTCCATGAGGGGAGAGTTTGCTTTTGGAAATGTTCTATTAGGAGATATTTTAACTAGCCATGAGCTCTAGATAATAAAATTTGGACCTGTGTTTTAATGTTTAATGTGCCTTGTTCTATATTTGGGCTGTAAATAATTTGCATGAAAAAGCTTCATACTCCCTACGCACAGCTTAAATAAGCAAAAGTAAATAATTTCCCTTACATTTCAGCTGTGTGTGTACGTTTTCACTGCTTGCAATTACGCTAATGGTCCCAGAGGTTCCTGAGTCTCTCCTCAATCCGCTGCTTTCCCATTAGCACTAATATACTCGATGGGCTTTGCTCCTGACTGTTACAAGAAGGGTGCAGAGGCTCTATAAATTTTATTAATCTCAGGCAGGCATAGATGCAACTTGTAAAAAAAAACCCCAAAACCTCTAGGAGGTGGGTACAGATTCATATTCTTAGAGAAATGGAAGACAGTGCTGTGCAGTGAAATGGGGAGGCTTCTCAGCCTAGATGAAAGGAAGAGGGATCAGAAGGACTGCACGTAGTGGCCTGAACGAAGCCTACTGATGTCAGTGGAGTGACTTCTCTTGACTTCAGCTACTTCAGTCAGACCTACTCAGTGAATCTGTGTAGTAATATCAAGACCAACTTCACTCAGACTGCACCATTGGGCTATTCCTTATTACTGTGGATTATTTTTGTATTTATCTTCAAGTACCTATTGTTGTTTTGCTCTTGCACTTTCAGTCCTCTGACATTTCACTCCAAAATCACATCGTCATACGTCATATGTTTCCCTTAACTCTTTCCGTTACTTGAAATCCAGTTCACCCTCCAGTTCACCCTCCAGCCTGATATTTTTCTGATAGATTTTTCCTTCGTGCAGTATCAGAACACTGTAAGTCAAGACATCTAGGTCTGTTCACATAACTGTTTCCAAGTGCAGACCTCTGAATTTAAGAAATTTAACCTCTAAAAAAAAATTTACAGTGTTCTAAAGAGATGGTGTCTACCCTGTTCATGCCCCTGTACAGTTATTTGTGGCAAACATTCCTTTTTTTTTCTCCTAAAATTATATTGGAATAAATACAGTCAGTGGGATTTAGTTGTTTTTTCTTTTTTTTTAATAGGTTTGTCAATGATTATGTCAAATTACTAAATGACTGAGGAGAAAATGAATAAGATACCTTCAGATTTAGCTTCAAATTCTAATGTCTGATTTTAATATCCAACATATGATTGTTTTAGTTGATTAAAATGTCCTATATGTATTTTTTATATATATTCAGAAATGCTGATTTTTTTAAAGGCATATCTGATTAGAATTACAATGTGTTGTCACACTAACTTACATACTTTCAAAGTACAGAAATACAAAGTGATCCTTACTGTTGCATGCAGTTTCTTGAGTCACCTAATAGCTAAAATGAAATACATTAAATGCTATACATCTGACTTTGTAATGCTTTCATTTTGAATGTGAGAACTTGGATATATGCTCTGAATAGCTTGACTCCAAGCTACTAACGTTTGCTGCTCTAAGTTCTCTGTTAACTAAACTGAGTGGTGAAAAAATTTTACTGTGCAATGGTTGAAGTATGTTTAGGGTGTTGTGATGTGCCTATAAGGAAATATTTATTTTAAAAGATCATTTTCTAGTTTTGAAATTTATTTTGCTTTGCAGTTCTCTGGCAGACATTTTATATTTGTGTCTACACATCTAGATGCACAGGTACAAGCCTTCTGCCAGTTACTTCAGCTTTTCAGTAATTTAAACTGTATGGGCTATAAGTAATACTCTTATGAAATTGTTACCTTTTAGGGAGTATCAGTATATACTTAATTTGTTCTATCATCCCTTTATTTTTTGATACAACGTACAATCAAAGACTCCGGCTATGGGCACCTGAAATATCTAAAATAACATAAGAAGTGATCACTATTTAAGGAAAAAAAGATTTATTCATAATTTAAAAATAATTGTGTTTATTAATATAAGAAATGTTAACCCCTTATGAGTACTTCTGGAAGGCTACACTTTAAAAACTTGATATGATTAGCTGGCTTATTTGTTCAAAGTAGTTTAATTGCATTTAAGCCAGAAATCTTAGGGGGTCCCTTAGCTCAGGTGGGGGCAGGTTAGCTCACTTTGTTAGAGTGTGGTGCTGATAACACCAAGGTCGTGGGTTCGATCCCTGTTCGGTCCCCATGTGTTGCCTGATCTAGTTGAGAGGCGTCCCTGCCCGTGACCGGGAGGTTGGATTAAATGATCTCTAAGGTCCCTTCCAGCCTAGGCCATTCTATGATTCTATGATTCTATGATTCTGTGATTCTGTGATTCTATGATCTTTATACTTGATGAATATATCTAACTGTACAAAGCCAGAAGAGTACACTAGTAAGCTCTGTGACTGAGGATTGCATAGACAGTCTTTCAAAACAAAATGCAAAAATTGATTTGAACCTTAACTTCTACAGCTTTCTTTGTATTATCAATGATACTTTTGTGGGCAAAGAGGCATTTCTGTGAGCAGTTGCCTCTTTTGATTCAATGACATATCTGTAGAAACTAATGAAAATACAAGAAGATGTAAAAGAAAGGATATTGTAAGAAATTACGTGCAGCATTGCTTAACTACTTGGCTTTGCTTTTACTTGTACCATGTTAATCCCATAAACCGTTGGCTACTGCTGAAGAGCTGCTGGGCTTGAGTTTACTTGACTGTGTGTTTGTGTTAATGCACATTTGTACAGTATAATAACATAACTAGTATGCCGTTTCTTATGTAACGTTATGCAGAAAGGGAAAAATTATATTAATTTTTGTACTGTGAGTACTGAATAATCAAATACCTGAATTAACTCAGCTACTTCTATTTACTATACCATCTAGGTAATTACAGTAGAAAGAAATAAAGGTAATCTTGTAAGCTTTCAGATATTCTGATTCACTTCAATTTTGCTATTCCTTATCACAACCTCAGATTTTACAATCTAATTTATACCTTGCTTTTTTTCTTTTTTTTTTTAAAATGCCTGCCATGTATTTTCGCTTCATCTGCCTTGTCTTCCACCATGAGTACTCTGCTCTACTGTCAGTCAGGAAAATAACTGGGTTTAAGTGATGCAAAGTAGTTAAAGAAATTATGTCCTTAGAAGGAAGAAAAGTGAAAATTCTTATCATCAAGCTGAGTTTTGACTATAGGAAAGAGAAAATATTTTTCACTTTTTCTTACTCCCTCCCAAAAGCTGCCCTGTTCTTGTTTCTTTCTTGAATATTTCTCAAGCACCACACCTATTTTTAATGCAAAACAAATCTGGATCTGGTAGTTATTTTGCTCTAGGACATCTTATCCATTGACGAACAGAAAACCTGGTAATACGTGAAGCAGGGTAGAATGAAGAAACATCCAGACTTGCCACCCATCTTGCATAGGAGCATATTTGGGCTCATGCTTGTTTAAAAGTTTAGCAAATGCAGCATGCTGCTTGATATACTACAGACTTCAGTATATGTACCAGAAAGGTAAATGAGGTCTGATATTATTTTACCCAGGATAGCATATCTTCCTCTGAAGAGGAGGAGCTCCTGTTGGTCTCCAAAGTACTAGACAGCCCTAATGCAAGCTGTAAAACCTCCCAGTCCGTCACCCAACTAAAATCCTCCCACCATAGTTAACTATTTTATTAATTGTCCCAGCTGCAATCTCCATTTGTGCTATCGATCACATCTTGTGAGCTTTCAGAATTGAAGTTGCATTGGATGTGCTTAAAATGTAACAGATGTTTTTGTACCAGTAGTATAAAGGCTTTAAAAGCTTCCTTTTTAAATGAGGCTGTAGTGTATGGAGTCATGTCAGCATTCCAGAATATGCTGTTCAGAAACACTTTCACATCCAGTGAGGCTTAGGAGGGTGTGAGTGTGCTCACTAGCTCTGCTCTTCCTCTGCATCTATTATTAATCCATATTGTCCCTGAAGAAATCTTACTCAGCTCCATAACTTACACTACAAAAAAACCAAAGGAATTATGAAATAGTAGGAGTGTCTCTCTTAAAAAGCAGTTTTTAAACACCGTTTCAGTACTAAAGATTTTTCAAAGGGACTGGGTAGGTTTCATTGCATATTGGGAATAAAAGGGGGGTTTATTCAAAGAAATTTTAATAATATTTTGAATTATTGATGTCAGAGGTGACACAGTTCTTCCAAAACTCTGGTCGGTAGACCACTAACAAAAAGAATTGTCACTCTCTTGCACCTGTTCTGTGTAGTGCAGAGAAACACCTTGGAAACGTGAAAAAGCCATTGTAAATGAGTAAAAGAAGTCAGTCTAGCTGCTGAGTTTGGAAGCAGTGATACCTGTCCAAGCAACTTGAAGAGGAGAGGAAGTCTAAAAGAGACAGCAATGAGGAAGCAGAACAGTAAATCTAGGTGTTAGGAAATGAAGAGCAGCAGGTAACTGAATACACAGATAAGCATATCAGAGTGGTGGTGGGTAAGTAACAATGACATCTGCAGAGTTGGAGGAGGAAGGGGAAGAAGAATCTGGGCAGTGGGAGGGATGGATGAGGAATTTAATTGAGGGGCAAAATAAAGTAGGCACTAATTCTTTTGTAAAAAACAAAGTTTTCTTA